ATACCAATTTCTATTATTTTATAATATAATTTATAATTTTATTTGATATAATTTAATTTAGTTTGATAAATAGATTTAAATTTTATTTATAAGGATATATATTAATGTTTTATATTTTATATATATAATATAGATGTCAAATCAAAAACCGTTAAAAAATAGTTAATTTGATATATCATATATGAAAAATAAATTACAAACAAAAAAGTTATAAAATCTTAAAATAAGAAGAAGAAACGTTTATAAAAACTAATGAATGAATTATATAACAAAATGAAAACCCCAAATTAGATTTGAAGGCCCAAATAAATGACTCACGTCTGAGTCTAGGTGATGAACAATTTGATTGGAAGAAATTAATTGTGAAATAATTTCGACACTTGGAATTAATTTGCCAGCCAAGAAGTAGTTTATTTTGAGAGAGTTGTGACATAATAAGAGTCTGAGAATTATTTTCGCACAAGGAGAGAAAAAGAGAGAAAAAATATTATATATTAATTTATATTCAAGCCTAACTCCAAAATATAGCTTTTTATCAAATAGAAGTCCGAAGCATGAGAGTTTGCCACGTAGGCTCAGCGCATTCTGAAATTATATATAGAGGGGATGTACCTCGTGCGATGCACGTGACAGAGATATTAAATGAGTTATTTTCACAAGCTATATCCGTTTAAGTCTAAAAATCAATAGGATTATATCAATTTTTCCACCTCTTTTAATCAGCATTAATTTAAAAGACAATAGGGTTATAAACTATTTTCTAGTCTTTTAATCAGCGTTGTTTTTTAGCCTGAATATTAATTAATATGAGCATGTTAGAGCTAGCTTGTAAAATAATTAATATATTGTCTCACTAACACATTTATACTAATGTAAATTAGATTTTAGTATACATATTTATTCCTTGATATAAGATAAAATAACAATTTTACTTATTTTTTTTATCACCATATAATACTTCATTATTATTTTATTAAAAATTTTATTGTCATATAATGTCATTATTATTTATAAAAGTTATAGAAGTGTACGTCTTCTTTTTCTTTTTATTTTATTTTATGTAATGAAAAATATTTATTGCACGTTTGCATTATTTATTTATATAATCAATTTAAAGTATGTAAATAAATTTAAAATTAAATAATTTATAAATATTTTACAAGATATACACATATGTTTTTTTAGAATATAGTTTTGTATACTAACTAAATAACTTTGATTTAGAAAATGCCAAAAACTTCATCCCTTCTATAATGAAAATTTTTCTAATTTGCATTATAAGGATTTATATTTTATTTAGCATACTCTGCATTGAAAATATATTTTACAAGAATTTCATTATAGAAAGAAATCAAAATAAAAAAAAATAATAAAAAAATTAATCATGGTTGCCAATAATATACAAATAAATTCTAAATAACAGTTAATATATTTCAATTTCAATTTTTAACCATTAGCAAAACTATTTAATGTATCCGGTCATTATCTCTTAAATGGTAAATTATATTAATTTGAAGAGTAATTTATTTCCTATATATAACGAAATAAAGCTTAAGAAAAAATTATATTGGCAAAGATTAATTTACCAACTTGATTTCGCGTGAATAATTGTAAAAAAAAATTCTATCTAATCTGTTACGATTTTCTGATTTGAGTAAATTAATATTTGAAAACATGTATATGAAAGCAATTAATGCATATATTTAGAAAATTTCCAAAATAGGTATGCTGAAATGCTCCCAAAATTTTTTACTACTATTTTTAGTAAATGATTATCTTATTATATATAGATAGATTGGCCTAAATCATTTTTAGTTATTTACTATTTAATTAATATAAACTCCCTCCATCTACAAATAAGTGTTGTTCTAGAAGAAAAAAAAAAAAGCATTACCGATTTTTGTTTTGCTGGTGGAAAATTTTCGAAAATCAACCGTTGACTGTCGTGCTTCTACGGCATCCGCCGGGGTTTACCGCGGGTCCAACCGTCAGACTGGAGAAGAGTAAGTTGGAGAGTCCGATTTTGAGTTTGATTTTGACGGCGACGGATATGACGCAGGCGACCGATTGGCTAGGGTTTTGAGCAGAGCCGGTCCTGAAAATTTGTAGGCCCTAGGCGAAATGAATAAATAGTGTTCATATTATTTTTATTAAAAAAATTATAAACAATTTATCATATTACAAAAAAAATAATGAAGATTATAACAAAAGTGTAAAATTTTATTACAAAAAAATGACAATAAGTAAAGGAATAAATCATGCTCAGTCCTTGTATAAGAAAAAAGACGACAAAATAAAACAATGTTTTAAAGTCTTTTCAGATTAATCATATGTTTAATATATAACAAACAACAAATGAAACTCACATTTATAATGGATATATAAGAGGATGCCCTATAATGACTATCACTTATATAATTGAATTATATGCACACAAGTAAAATTTTGCATATTCAAGTAAGAAGTTAAAAAATATTTTTATCGATCGAATGACAAAATGAAAAAACAAAATATATAAAAAAATAATTAAGTTAATTATAAGTTATTATAAATTAATATCATCATTAGAACTTTACATAAACAAGGAAAACTATATTTAGTTATGTGAAAATTAAGGAAAGAAATTAACTTATTTTAATAACTAATTATATTTAAATGCTTTTTTTTATTTCTTTTAAAATATTCTAATAGTTGGTGGCCTCAAGATTTTTGGGCCCTAGGCGGCCGCCCCGCTAGCCCTGCCCCAAGGCCGGCTCTGGTTTTGAGGCGATTTGATTAAGGTTGCGTCGCTGATGAAAATGGTAACGGCGATTCGATTCACGAAAGTGAGATAGGGAGAGAATGCCGTGGAAGACTATGTACCCGTCTTCGATCGTCCGACTCGCAGGTTGATTTCTATGCGGCGGAGTGGCGAGTGGCAGAGATCGACTCTGGTGGTCTTCTCCCAATGCTTGCAGAGGCTGCATTCTCTAAGGCAGTAGTGGCTGAGGAAGACGGTGGCGGAGGCAGCCGGTGATCAGCGGGCAGAGTTTGTGACTGGAAGGTGTGTGTGTGTGTGTGTGAGAGAGAGAGAGAGAGAGAGAGAGAGAGAAAGGGAGGGAGGGTGAGGTGGGGTCTGGTCTGATGGTATGGGCCTACAGGTGGGTATAATTAGGAAATGTTCAATTTACCCTTAATCAGTATAAATGTTTGACTTATTTTTAGCCGTTGGATTGCCCGATTGGACGGCTACGAAATATTCTTATTTCTTTTACTGAGCACCATTCTCACTCAATATATAAATAAATATATAATTGTGTGTTAGTAAAGTATTACCATATGGAAAATAAAACTCTCCCCCAAATTCTCTCCCCGGCGAAACCCTACCTCCGCGGCGTACTCCTCTTATTCCCATCGATTTTGCCTTCCTCGGTGTGGTTAGTCACGGCCAGGGGTCGTCGATGACCGTCCCATCTTCTTTTGATGTTGCGCGCTCCTGATTCTCGGTGGATGGGCCGCGATTTGAGCTCTAGCTCGCGGTTGCAGACAGGAGTTCTAGTGGCAGCGCCATTCCCGATTGGTGTTTGGCGGTGGAGTTCCTCCGTTGCCGGCGAAGCTCTGATTGGAGGTGGTAAGTCCTCTGTCTCTCTTGTCTGTGATTGCCGGAATGTCTTTTCTAGTGGAGCTCCGTCTTTTCAGGCGGGTGGGAGCCTCTGGTCGGGGGGTCTACGGAGTGGTCGGGCGGTGTGCGGATCTTTGGATGGACTGGACTCCGGTGGTTGCGGCGATTGGTTGCGGTGGTCGGGGTGAGGGTTGTTTCTCTCCCATAATCCCTCGTTTGCCTAGTGGTGTTAGGAGGCGGGGGAAGTTTCATCAGTTTTCATCTAGTGGTGTTAGAAGAATTCGGGTTGAATAGTGTGGGGTTGAATTGGCTCTCTTGGTTATTGATGGGTCGATTCGGGGATTGGTTCGGGGTTAGGTTTCTTCTACTGTATAGGCTTGATTGCAGTTTCGGTAGCAGACTCTTGTCCTAGATTTGTCTTGTGTCGATCGTTCACTACTGGTTCGGGCTAGCTCGTTTGCTGGGGAAGGGCTTTTACTTTTAGTATTAGTATGTTTTGTTTATTGTGTTCATGTTTAGTGTTTTCTTGTTGTGTTGTCTGTGTATTGTGTTTTTGGTTTGGGCAGTTGGCCCCTGTGAACCCGAGTGTCAAATTTATTATCCTGTTGGGATCCGACACTCGGATATTACCCTGTTGGGGTCCTTGTAGTTGTTTTAGTTGCTTGTGTTGTTTAGTTGTTTTAGTTGTTGGTTAGTTTAGTTATGAGTGTTTTGTTCTAGCGTTGCTAGCCGAGAGTCTAGGCGGTCTTCTGACATGTCCTCCTACTTTTTCAGCTGTTGGCTACTGTGTATTCAGTCATTGGCTGTTGTGTATTCACACGTTTGTGCATTTTGATTTATAATATTATCTATCGTTTTGAAAAAAAAAAAAAGGTATTACCATATGAAATTAGACGATTCCAAATGTGTCAAATTACTAGGGCTTTAAATCAGTGGGCTAAGTTCAAGAAATTTTACCAATATGTCATGTAAATCTGATTAATCTGATGTGCCTACCAGCACATTATGTTTGGAAAACTACTCATGCAAGATCATACTATTATTAACTATAGACCTATCTTTATCAATAAAAAAAACTTAAACTGCATTCTATTATTTTTTTACATATTATAACCGTGACTTTAATTTATCACACTGTTAGTCCTTGATAATTATAAAATTTTCATAAATGAAATTATTCAAACTTGAGAGGTTTTCATCTCACCCCAATCAGAATTCAGATATGTTTATATCTTATTAAACAAAGACAGCTCCTGACTGAATTTATTACAGAGATTCTCCACAACAGTTTCAAAAGGACACAAAATTCTGCCTGCCCTTTTGGGCCTTTTCCCCTTAAAATAATTGAGAATAAAAATTAAAAAGAGAAAAAATAATAGGATATTAATTTTATNAGGAAATACAAAAAAAAAAAAAAAAATTATAAAAAAAAAATAAATAAAGAAATAAAGAAAAACGAAAAGCAGCACCAATAAAATACCATCATTCTTTCACTCTTGTACACCTCGAGCCCCAGGACCAAAAAACACACTGAAGAATAGAGCTCTTAAAACACACACAACACAGAGACGCTCAGAGGGATTTCCCGCCTCAAAAACCAGTTAAAAAGTTCTGATCTTTTGAATCCCTTTTGCTCAAGCTCTTAACCCCAAGAAACCCTGAAAAAAGCCCACGTTTTTTGCAGTGTTTTGAAATGGAGAAAGTTCTTGTGTTGGTTGTTAACTGCGAGCTTAAGGCTTGTGGGATAGTGTAAAGTGGTCAGAGTTTTTTTTTTTTCTTCGAGGAATATTAATAAGAACAACTCTTCTTTTTCCAGTCTTCATTTTCTTTCCATTTTCTGTTCCTTTTTTTTTTCAACCCTCCTTCATTTTTTCTCTCTCAAAATGGATTGCAAGAACATGTTAGCTGGAAATTTGGATCCAGAAAGAAAAAGGAGTGGTGGTCTGAGAACAAAACAGGCGGGGCGTGGGTCTTGCAGAGGGAGTTAGGCTAAGGCGTGTGTTGTTTTAGTTTTTATTTACTTTGAGGAAAAAAAACTAATTTTTGAAGAGAAGGGCAAAGAGTAAATGTTGTTCTGTCTTGGAGAGAAATAAATCAAATCACTTGGTCCTCTTTGTCTGTCTCACTTCTGGATTGGATCCCTTTTGGTGAATCTTGATTTAAGAATACTCGTAAATATATTTTACTCTTCTTTTTGGGGCATTATAATTTTTTTCTGCAATGGGGTACTTGTTGAAAGAAGCTCTGAAGACTCTCTGTGGGGTTAATCAGTGGTCTTATGCTGTTTTCTGGAAGATTGGCTGCCAAAACCCCAAGTGAGTTTGTCTATATGTAACATATTTTCTCACCTTTTTGTTTTTGATTAATCAAGAAAAAAGATTATCCTTATTTGCCTTTGAAATTGCCTTTTTTGCTTTTATTCTGCTTCTTTTTAGCCCTCTAAATTTTTAGTTTAGGTTGATAAGGAAAAAAAGGGAAAAAAAAAAACTTGAAAGCTGGTTATCCTAGCAATTCTATAATTCCAACTTGAAAGAACTTAATGAAATTTTCAGTTAAATTTTTGGACTTTGGCAAAGGTTCCGGTTGATTTCTCTCTTTGCTGAAATTCTTATATTTTGACTTATTTAGAGTACTGTTTGGCACTTGATCTGTAATTATAGGGATAATCATTTTCATTGTACATGGTAAAGTTGGTTAACAATATATGTTTTGACGAGTCACAGATTTACTGGTTATGGTTGTCTTTTTCCTTGATTCCTTTTGCTTCATGATTTGATAAGTGATATCTTTCACTTTCTCTAAGTTTGGAATTTTCTGGTGGGTCTATGCTAATTTGTCTTGAAAATTTCAGTAAGAATTTTAGATTTGTTTCCATATGATGAAACCCCTTTCAAGTGTGATAGATTTTATGCCAAATACTAATGTTGTACTTCTTGTTTGCATCCCATTTGTACCTTTTCCCTTGTCTACCATGAATTAATTCCCTGTTTGTTTACTGAAATTTCTGTAGTTATCTATTTTCTATACTTATTCATATTCTTAACAGATTCAAGAATGTTGATAGTGAGCATTTACCATGATTTTCATTCCCAGGCTTTTAATATGGGAAGATTGTTACTATGAAACTGCATCATGTTCACGGCTAGCTGGAAATCTAAATCCAGAGAACGCGTTTCATAACTTAAGTACTTCTTGGGTTTCAACCGAATCTTGTGATTTACAGTCCAGCATTCAGACAGCGGACAAGGTTCATTTTCTTGTAAACAAGATGATGATGGACAATCAAGTTAATATTGTCGGAGAAGGGTAACTCATTTCTTAAATCTTAAGTCATTGTAATTTATGCTTGAGGTCATGGAGAAACCTCATCNAATGTGAATTTTTTTGTGTGATTTTTTCTCAGGTTAGTTGGAAGAGTTGCATTTACTGGAAACCATCAGTGGGTCCTAGCTGAGAACTATTTTAGAGAAGCTCAGCCACCAGAGGTATGATGAGAGTGTGTTGCAACACTTAATTAAAGTGTACTCAGCTTTTGGCAATGGAAAAAATAAAAAATAAAAAGCTTATTTTAGTGTTTTTTTTTTATATGGTAACTTTTAGTTGTGATTTAGCTGATACTGCTTCAAACCTTTCATTTTACAACTTTTTCAATAAATCTATCGCAGACAGGAGTAATCATTCGAATGTCCTTATGAGCCTTGTTTTTGTCTATTTTAATGAGTGAATTCTTGGAGAACATTCTCAATCACTGCAGCTTTAATATGAATTCCCATCTTTTGTTTATTTGCAATAAAATAGACTTGTTCTAGTTAAAATAGGCTGCTTGCGAAAGTCTCAATATATGTTAAGTTCTACTGGATTTTCCTATTTCATGAATGTTAGGTTGTTTACATGTTTCTGTTATCTATAACAAAAACACTTAACTATTGTTGGCCTTTACAGGTTCAAAAGGAGGTGTGCCTACAATTTGCAGCTGGTATGCAGGTATGAAACCGATATTTTTTGTCTATTTCTTCATTTCTTTTTAATAAATTTATGTCATGTGGTTTGGTGATTCAACTAATTCCTTCTTTTTACCCTAATCAGACAGTTGCTGTCATTCCTGTTCTTCCCCATGGTGTTGTTCAATTTGGTTCATCCTTGACCGTAAGGCCTTTTCTTTTCGCTATTCTTGTATATTAATATTGTTCATATTGCTAAAATGATCCGAAAAACTTAAATAACTTAACATTGTTTTGTAGTGTACACTTAATATTCTTTAGCTAATGTAATTGTTGTTTTTCTTTCTGGTTTTTCAAGAAAGATTCAAAAATCTGTGTTTTCTGCCTCAGATAATAGAGAATATGGGATTCGTAAATGACGTGACATCACTACTACTTCAACTCGGATATCTTAACGAACTACCTAAAGAACACACTCCGAATACGGTCATCAGCCCACCTTGCTCGTTCGACACTTTCAACTATATTTCAAACTCGGCCGAGCCTTCTATGATTGACTGCCAAACAAATTTGGTGGCAACAAAGGCTGAAGTTTTCCCCTCCAACTCAGAAATGTGGTCTTCTCTAAGCTTACCTTCAAATATGTCCTCTGCTCTTTTGATGCCCTCACAAAGAACGAATCTCAGCTCGATGTATTTTTCCGATGAAGGAAACATTTATTCAAAGAACCCGTCTTCTAGTGCGCTTAAAAATGTAATCTTTGACGAGAAGCTTAAGAAAAACGAGTCGAGTAGTGCGGTTAAGACAGAGTTAGAACACAATGCAGTTCAGGCTTTTAATATTGGCAGTTTTGTGGAGGACGGCAATCAGAAACAGAATTCGGGAGATGACTTGTTCGACGTTTTGGGAGCTGACTTCAAGAATAAATTATTCAATATTAATAATAACGAGTTTAGCAATAATTTTCCATCTGTTACTAATAGCCGAGGAAATTTGGAAAGTGGGATTTTCTCCTCGACTAGTTCTACTGACCATCTTCTAGAGGCTGTGGTTTCTAAAATTCCTAAAATTCTCCACCCAGCCAAACGCGGTCTTGATGACAGCATTTCTTGCTCGACCAATTTCACGAACATTAGTAGCTCATCCGAACCAAATTCTTGTTCGCTACCTTATGGCCGGTTTGGGGTGCCGAAATTCATGGTCAAAGCAGGGTCAATGAGTTCTGGCTCGTTTGGGGTGGGGCCCACAAAGGAAGAGTCAGGGACTTATTCTCAGGGGAGCTCGATTTTTGGGTCACAGTTGAGTTCGTGGATTTCGAGGGATGTGAAGGGGAAACAGGCTAGCAGCTTGTCCACTGGATATTCGAAGAAAATAGACGAGGGGAGTGGAAAAACAGGTCGAAAGAGGCTAAAACCGGGAGAAAATCCGAGGCCAAGGCCAAAAGATCGGCAGATGATTCAAGATCGTGTTAAGGAATTAAGGGAGATTGTACCAAATGGAGCAAAGGTAAATTTTGTTTATTAATTTTTCGTTTTTTTTTTTAACAAATGGGTTGTTGTATTAATTTTCGTGTTTTTACGAATGACAGTGTAGCATTGATTCTCTACTCGAACGTACTATCAAACATATGCTTTTCTTGCAAAGCGTGACGAAGCATGCGGACAAGCTGAAACAAACTGGAGAGTCTAAGGTATGAAATCCTATTGCAAACTATGTTTAATTCAGTGCTGCAATTTATGTTTTATTTGTTGTAAAATTGGAAGTGTTGAACACTTGAAGCGTACATCATTTAGTCAATGTACAAGAAAGCTGCAGCTACCTTTCCAAAATTAATCGATCATCCCCTTAATATTGGTTTCCATCTCAGAATGCAATTTCACTATTTGTTGTTCTATAGGGAGAAAGTGATTAATGAATGTTTGCTAAGGTTCTAATAATAATATAAAGCATGCAAATATTAATGTTCTATTATATGTATTTGTTTTGTGTCAGATTATCAGCAAAGATGGTGGTTTACTCTTGAAAGAGAATTTTGAAGGTGGAGCTACGTGGGCCTACGAAGTGGGCTCACAGTCAATGGTCTGTCCAATCATAGTCGAGGATTTAAATCAGCCACGTCAAATGCTCGTTGAGGTAAACACAAAAACCATCCCTCAAATCAAAGGCTCGAATTTCTTGAAGTTGCATTAACCAAATGCTTTTTGCTTTCCTTTTTAATTAACAGATGCTCTGTGAAGAAAGGGGTTTGTTTTTAGAAATAGCAGACATAATTAGAGGACTTGGGTTAACCATATTAAAGGGAGTCATGGAGACTCGAAAGGACAAGATTTGGGGGCGCTTTGCTGTCGAGGTAATTTAATTTTTGTTTATATCGACAAATTTTGTTCGTATTCAAGCATTGGTTTGGTTTTTTATCTTTTCTTTCTTTTTTTTTTGGCAACAGGCGAATCGTGACGTTACAAGAATGGAAATATTCATCTCGCTAGTTCGCCTCTTGGAGCAAACTGCAAAAAAAGATTCAGAAAAAACCCGAAAAATGTCAGAACAATTTCAACAAGTCGCTCCAATTCCTGTTACAACTCAAAGTTTCCAGTGAGTCTTGTTTGGACGTGTTGAGAGCGGGCAAAATCGGAAAAAGCTTGCCATGACTAACGCGTCTAACCGGAAAAAAAAAAGTCAGCAGCCGGTCAACCATTGACTTTGTTGTGTTTGCTTATTTCTTAGGTTTGCTGCAGTGACTTTGTGCTCTGAGAATGTAGCATGTATTTGCTTTCTTATTTACTTGTTTGCTTTTGGGTCAATAGTAGTTTTTATGTTTATTAGTTGTTGGGTATTTATAAATGGGGTTTCGTGTCTGTTTAGTGGTGGTTTTAAGGTTGTGTAATGAGTGTATAGTGTGAGTGTTGGTGGCAATTTGTGGTTTTATTGTAATGTTTGTTGTGTCATGTTGTGTTTTCAAGAGTTTTTGAGTTTTATGTTATTTGGCTTATGTTAGTAAGTGTTTAGCATATTAAATTATCAACCATTAATTAAAAAAAAAAGGATGACTTGAAGTTTGACATAAACATGTATGACGGATCTTGTGATCATCAAATTTAAAATCAGTAACTTCTGTTCTTACATATTAATTAAATCAAAATTTATTGCAAAATATTATATTAAAGTAGCTAGCATTACTCTTAGGTTACATTTGAGTTTGAATTGATGGATGAACAGAGGGATTTGAAATATATAAATTTTAAATTTACACGTTCAAATCTTCATGCATATTGATATGATAATAGAAGTTGAGGATTTCAAATTTACGTCAGGTAGATATTAGTCATTATTTTGAAGGGCTTTAAATAACTCCTAAAACTTAGTCATTTGAAATTCAATGTTTATGTCACCGTTGACGATCACACCGTCCGCGATCATTTGAATTCATCACTATCATGAGTTAACACCATTTGTGCGAGCAAGATAATTGAGTTATAATCCTTTCAACAAGTCCATTCAAAGAGTTTGAAACTTAGAGAGTAGCAAATTTATATTTTAAAAAATTTAAAATCAAGGGATTTCAAATATTTCAATACAAACAAACTTAACCTAAAAGTGTGTCTGGTAAGCACCATAAATTAACTTATAACTTATTTTGTTAGCTTATAAGCTTCATGCGTTCAAATAAATTTTGTTTGGTAGGACGATTTTTTGTATAAAATTTGTGCTTGCTTACTTGCATAATTTTTCAAATAAGCTCGTAGAAATTTTTATTTCAATTATCTTATCAGTTAATTTTATCAAACACTTTAATAATCTTATAAACTAGTTTTTCAGCCACAGGTCAACTAAATTATCAGCTTAACTAGCTTATCAGTTAAGTATACCAAACATAACCTAAATAATCCTATATGCGTTTGGTCGAACAAAATTTTGGTTTATAGAAGTTGTGATTAATATAATTTTTTTTTTCCTAAAATATGTTATTCATTCTATCTTGATTTTTCCTTTTTAATTTATCATATTTTACAAATAAAAATTAATAATTATTTTTAAATTTTCAAAAGATATTGTTCGTGCATTTGTTTATTATTAATTAATATTTTTATATTTTTATCTCATCATCTTTGATTATTATAATTTCATTTTATATTCCCACGATTGAGAACAGTATTTTAATATTTTCTTTCAATTTTTTTTATCTTTATTAGGAGTATCATACAATGNAGTAGAAAAAAGTATCCATTATAATGTCTGGAACAAGTAAATTATGAAATTGAAAGTTGGTCTCCACTCCAACTATTTTACATCACGCCTGGAAAAACAGGACGCATTTTGAGCACATCAGCTTATGCATAACAGGTCAGATAAACACTTGTGTATTATCTACTTGAGTTGAGAGATATATAATGATCGGACACAATGGTAGGCGGCTCAAATCAATCACCTATTCCTAGTAAAAATTGCAGGTAGTGTTTGTAACTTTTTAGCAACAGAAAANAAAAAAAAAAAAAAAAAAAGATTTGGTTGGAATATATGATCCACACCAAATACATTGAGTTCTTGCGTAATCTCTGTTTGAAGATCTGTTTTTGGAATCCTATAAAGCGCCTGATAGTACTCTCAGTTTAAATGCTCTGATGCCCAAGTAAAAAACAGTTACCTATAGAGAAATTTTGATATTCCATTAATAATGTCTATCTATTTCTCAACATAAATTAAAACTAGTTTTACCTGGTGCATTTGCACAAAAAAACGATATAATAGAAGAGAAATTAATTAAAGATATAGAATAAAATAAAAATATAACTTAATAAATGAGAAAAAAATAATTTAAAAAAGTGAATTTAAATATTATTAAATAATTTTTTATATACAATATTCGTGGTTTTTCTATCGTTAGAATTATCATCACACCAAATCATTATCGTTAAACCTCTTCGACTCGTGACTCTGAGATTTCATTTTTCAAAATATTTGATGTATCTTTGCAATATCCGAAAAAAATATTTTTTTATTATTTGTATGACTGCAATAAAAAATAGAGATATTTGTAGTCATTCTTAATTAGTTATAAAATATGTATTTATGTAATACCGAAAAATATATAGTATCAAAATAAAAAAATAAAAATATTTTATATTTCAGGACATAAAAAGGTGTTACAAAAATGGGCACCATCCAAAATGGGACACATCAAAATAAATCATGTAACTGAAAGTTACAAATTATTATTAAATGGTGAACATAATTTTATTAAATGAACACCTATTTTTATTAAATGAACTCATATTATTATTAATTGCTAGCTGAATAAAATTTATTGAAACTTGCCAACAATTATATGTATATAGATAAATAAGATATATAATTAATGAAATAATCATTTCTTATCTGTCAAATCAAATTTTAGGAAAAAAATAAATATTAGGACAATGAAAGAAATTATATCAAATTATGAGACCATATAGGGATATAGACACTCTCCCAAAGCCAAAAAACCAGGAGTGTAGCGACTAGAACCGATTTGTTAGGGAGTACAACCTAGTTCAACTCGTAAAAAATCAATCTTGGCTCATTCGTATAATAAAATATAAAATAAAAATTTATTTTAAATAAGCGGAGCTTAATTGGTTAAACTTGATTTCTTAAATGATCCGAGCCAAACATGCTCATTTATTATACGAGCACAAGTTTGAACACGACGTATTTGATTTAATTTGGCTTCAATAATATCACTACTGTTATGTGTAAAAAGTAAAAATTCAAAGTACGATATTTCCTAAAGTATTTTTGTAAATTGCAAAACGAATGAAAAACAAATTATTGAAAATATGTCATGTTGTTTTAGTAAATTAAAAACACCTTATGTTACCTTTTTTAGGCGTATTTATACGAGAAAGCTACTCATGCCCTATTCGTATGTCATCGGTGATAACAATATCGACATCGATTGTATTTTACACAAACTTGTAGATTTTTTTTTTTTTGTTTATATAGTAATTTTTTATTCAAAAAATAGTATTGTCGTGTAATTTCTTCATGCCTACTTAAATTTGACTTATGAAAATAATATAACTTATTTCAAATACAACTATGAGATGAACGTTTTATTAACCAGGTCAACCCAACATACTTGTTATATGATATTTTACTTAAACCGTGGAAGTCCAAATGTCATTTTATTGAATAGGCAGGTTAATCCAACATAATTGTGGAATTCCAAATGTTGCTCCATTGATTCATTGAATATGTTATGCAAATTAATAAAATTAAATTATATATTTCACATATTCTAATATATTTTATTTTAAAGTTAACAAGTAATTGATATATTTCATATATAAAGTAATATATAATATAAACTAATCGCGTCTTAAACCAAATATTAAAAAATAAAAATAAAGAAGAAAAAATGACAAAGTAAGCTAAAAAAAGTACATATGAAATGTCTAAGTCATGTCCAAAAATATGCATAATTTTTTAGTTTAATATAAAATAAATTTAAATTAATATGGATTAAATAATTTTATCATGAATTATATTGATAAGACGTTGTCTAAAATATTTTTGTACCACTACATATTTAAATAAAACACAAAATTAAGACCGGGTTGGAGCCCGGGTGAGCCACCCCCTATCTACGCCCCTTCATAAAACGCAGCCCATAAATTATAGTCTCAAGTTCAAGTGATGTGTTGTTGCACTTCAAACTGGCCTTCCGATAGTCCTTCAACTGATATGCTTCCCGGAGACCTGCAAAAACAGCAAGAGGTATTCTCGGCGTTAAACCTCCAACGATCAAGTCAGTAAAGAGCTATAGAAAGTTGTATGGAATTATATTTCAAAGCTTAGAGTGTATAGAGTGATAAACCTTTTTACCGTATATACCTCTTACCTATTTATAGTGAATCTTTGGCTTCTTGAACAAGCTTCATCCTACCCAGCTCCCTGAAGTCCTGCCTAAGTGCCTGCCCAACGATTATGTGGCTACACCTAGGACTGTAGGGTCGTTTTGTTCTTTCCCTTGTAGCCCTACACGTATCCCCCATCACCAGCTGGACCCCGACCCATTGTGTTGTTGTCCCGTGCCCGAGCTACTAACACACTTATTCTGTTAGTGCTACCTTACGTCCGAGCTACTTACCTACTTTGCTACCCGAGCTACGAGCATACCCAAGTTTGTTTGAGCTATTTGGTTCTCAGACACCCCACTGTCAAATGTCCGAGCTACTTACTTTTCATGTTACCTGTTTGTTGTGTTTTTGTAGTATTTTTCGTGTGTTTTATGTGTCGTACTCGTGTCTTTTTAGGTTCGTTTTAGTGTCAACCGGTCAATTTTATCGTGTTTTGTGTATTTTTGTTCTCTTCTTAACTTTTTATGTTTCGGTGTACTTTCTCGTCTCTTTTGGTGTTGATTAGGTCTATTTTGCCGAGCTTGGAAAAATGAGCCGACCCGAGCCATTATCAGAACCACNGTCGCCTGCACCCGCGCGCCAGCGCCCGCCTATCCGTGTCAGCACTCGCCCAGCGACCCGTTAAGCGGAATTATCCTTGTTTGGGAGAGTGTAGCTCATTAAATGTGTGTGTTTTAGTGTGTGTTTGTGATGTGGCTATAAATAGACTTGTTGCTTTGTATTTTTTAAACAATTCCTCATTTGCAGATTTTTCTTCTTAGTTTTTCTCTTACTTTCTCTCTCTACATTTTCTTTCTCTCTCTGAGAACTACAAGACCCAATTTTTATTGTAATATTTCTCCATCAAAATTGCAACTTTTCGGCTTATTTCTTATCGTGAATGCAATAGAGACTTGGAGACTTTGTCTAAGGTCCGATTGGAGACTTAGTTGAAGGTCCAAGATCTCGTAAGTTTTTCTTGCTTTTATTTATTGGATTATTCCAGGGTAAAGGTAGGAGCTTTCATGGGTAGAGTATGCATTCATTCTCGTAGGCTAGGGATTATGTGATTTTATTGTTGATTGCGTGAGTGAGAATTGATTGAGAGCTCG